CCACTTGAGCCACATCCCCAGCCCGATGTGTATGTCATTGATAGATGTAAAAAAAAAAAAAAAAGACCACCAGATGTGTGGCACACCACACCTATATAATGCCAGCAACTCAGGAGGCTGAGGCAGGATGATTGTGAATTTAAAATCAGCCTCAGCAACTTAGTGAGGCCCTAAGCAACTTAGCAGGAGAACTTGTCTCTAAATAAAATATAAAAAAGGGCTGGGGGGGTGTGGCTCACATCCTGGATTCAATCCCTGGGTTAAAAAAAAAAAAAAAAAAAAACCTACTTATTTCCTAGAAGAAATGAAAAGAAAAACTTTCTGCTTGATTCCAAGTGTGCCAGAACTGTCTAGAACCTTAATTTCCATAAGTATTCCAAATAAGGACAGGACCCTTCTGCCTTTCAAATTGTGACTTTGATAAGTCCAGGCACTGGGTCCCCTGCCCCTCACTACACCACCCAGCCCTGCTAATAGATTTATAGCTTGAGCCATTTTGGTCAGTAAAATTTTTGAGTAGTCACCTTTCAAAAATAAAAAGAGAAAGGTGAGGTTAATTTTTGTTACTTAACTCAATATATCCAAAATATTACTTTAACATGTATTTGATATAAAAAAGTATTGAGATATCCTACGTTCTTTTTTTTCCCCATAAGCCTTTAAAGTCTGGTGTTATTTGTTCTTACAGCACATCTGTTGGGCCTAGCCACATTCCAATTGCCCAACAGCCACTAGTGGTTAGTAGCTTCCATATGAGACAGTGTGGCTCTAAAGGACAAAAGCCAATCCCATACGTGGAGCCAAGGACTTCAACCAAGTTTCTCAGCTGGCTTGCCCTCAGGTGGAGAGCCCCCAGTGCTCACTGGTGAGGTCCAGACCTGCCTAGCCTGGATTAAAGTTCCATCCTGCCGCAGACTCCACCAAGCCCTTCCCAGCCCCCTGTGTGGGTCAACTCAGAATTCCAGGCACTTGGGCACATTCCCACTGAGGACCTTTGCTGGCATCTCACCAGTGCCTTCCCCAAAACTTTAAAGGTCTTGCACCACCTCTGCACTCTTCCCCAAATGCCTCCCTGCCCACCAGCCCCTAGAGTCACCCTCCTCCTCCCAGCTCTGTAGAAATCCCTGCCTCTCCCACCCATTGGGCACCTGGCAGTTGCAGCCTTGAGCTGTGCCTCACAGTGACTGCCTCCACCAGCTGAGCTCAGAGCCCTCACTCTTTCTGGATCCCCAATGCACCTGCTTGGTGCTGGTGCTCAGGAAATACCCGGGTGTATGCCTGACTATTGGAAGGAGTGAGGGAACAATAGTGTCTCAAAGGGACTGAGGTCCTGAAGCTGGATGAAGACAAATTTGAAATTGAATGGGAAAGAGAGGGGCATGTAGGCCCCAGGTGAGTCTGAGTTCTAACTGCGCATGGCAGGGATGGGACAAGTGGGG